TTTGCATGGTGAAGGATGTACGCTAGAGTTTTGGTTGGAACTCCTGGTAACTGAGGCAAAAGCAGTGAGCCCTGGCTTTGAGCTGGACAGTTAGGTATTTATCTCAGCTACATTTAGACATTTACATCTTTATTATAGTTGACCTGTGCTCCCTTTCCAGTCCATAGAAATTGACAGTTCTGAAACAAGATTAGTCTCATTCTGAAGTAAGTAAAGTAGGTCAGGTGAAATGTGCCTGGATAAAGCCATTTTCATAGTGAGGTCCTAACCACAGTGTAGCCTTTGGTGCTGAAAAGCTGTATTTGTTGATCTCGCTACAGCAGGCATGGAGAGCTGACTGGTTTTGTTCTCGCAGGAGGGGGAAGAAGAGGACCTCCACATGCTGGGTGAGGTCTGTAGTTGTACTGTGCCATACCAAGCTGGGTATTACCTTGGACCTCGGCCAGCTGCATCCCACAGAGTGACATCCAGGTCATATTTTCAGCAGCCCAGAATATCAGACCCCTCTTAGCTGGCTCAAGGGATCCCTTTTGTCTCAAATGTGCCACGTATAACAGTGCTTGCTCAGCTAGCTACTGCAAATGGGCGTGCCAAAAATACCAACCTTCTGTCTTCTCACTGGAAAGAGATGGATTTCAAATCCGGTTTTGTCCCTGCTGGTACGTAGTTAGCACAGAATGAGGAGTTACTCCACCTGGGTGCCACTCAGCTCTCTCTTGGAGATGCCCTATTGAGCAAGCTCGTTTGAAAACCAGCGAATAGCTAGTTGTTTGCCCTAGTTGGGATCATGTATACCTTGCAAATGTTTCACTAGGAGAAGAACTCGGAGAGATGGAGATGGGTGTTAGGTATCATACACATCACCTCTGAACCAGCAGCTGCTCCTTCCCTCCTGCTGTGCAATCAACATTTATCCTTGTCGCCAACAGCTACACTTGTTGTTCTCCCTGCAGCCGTTCCCATAGTGGTTGTGTGCCAATAGCTTCCCTCTTCTGCACCCTCACCGCTGGCAAGCTCAGATCCTGTTCTTGATGTGGTGCTGCTGAGTGAATGGAGAAAAGGACAGGGCAGTGGGTAGGATAGGTGAATGGCAGGGGCTGCACCACCACGTGTTGGTGACAGAAACCCCTGCCATATCTTCACCAGCTTTGTTGCCTGTAACAGGGAGAAGGAAGCATTGGATGTCCCTGGGAAAGGTGCAGTCCAGCACCTCAAACCTTATTTGGATTTCTCCTGCATTGCTGCATTCCTTCATCTTTGCTCCAAGGATGTGTGACCTCACATTTAGCAGCAGCCTGAAACACTTGCTTCTCAAATGAGCCCAGTTTTGCACACAGTCGATGTTGCTCAGCAGAAACACTTTGTGCTTGTTATTTGCTCTCTAGAACTGAGGCTTTTTATTCCAATTTTATCACACATACTGTCCTGCATATATCCCTGCTCTTGCCACTGCACTTTTAGCATATGGAGGCGAGAGATGGATCCTGAAACTGGTGCTGCCAAGCCCTGGAGACTGAAAGGAAAATTCCTGTGGCAACATCTGTTAAAATGCAGAGAATTTCTTTAAATTATGTGTGTGGGTTTCTGCCGTAAAACTTACTTACTGCTGTCTTTTTATTTTTTCTGTGTGCGTGTGTGAGTGTAGGATAAAGATTGAGGAGGAATATGCTAAGAACCTGTCCAAACTGTCTCAGAATTCCTTGGCTGCTCAGGAAGAGGGGTAAGTGTGTCTCTGTGAGTTTTGCAGAAGACAAGAATTTTAACATAAAAGGCATTCCTCCCACATAGGTACATGTATTTTTCCTGAGCTCTCCCATTGAGTAGAATTTTATTTAGCTTAGCTAATACCTGAGTGTGTTGGGGAAGATAGAATTGTTTTGGAGTATTTTTGTTTTGAAGATGTTCATGGTAAGTTTTTAGGAATATGTGTATAAAACATTGCATTTCCAATAATGTGTTTATGCTATCCTTGTTCTAGCCAGCACTAGTTCTTTTAGGGATTAGCATGTATAAGTACTAAATTACTTTGAATATGGAAGAATATATGGAATATATATACTTCTGACAGTAGATCGGTAAGGTCAGGCCGGTAGAATTAGAGCAGCACAGACAGAGGGAGGATGAAGAAGTCTCTTCTCATTGTAGGTCTGTCCCTCCAAGAAAAGCAGCAGGTTGTCTCTTAGTTACAGCATGTTCACACTTTGGAAGTTATTAAGAAGATACTAGGCAATGCACTTTAGACTAGATTGTGGTTTTTGAGTAATGAAAAGACACCACTCCTGAAGGATTAGAAGTTGTTAGCTCTATCTGTTCCAACACAAACCCTCTAAGCACTGAGAGCCAAAGTTGGAAATGACTGTCCTCACCTTAGTTCTGACACAGTGCGTTTCTGCTGGCAGTGAAACTCCACAAGGTGTTTGCTCAGCTTCTGATAGGCAAGGACAGAAATTGCAAGAGGCTAAGTTACTTCTCTAAGCACCTATGTTGATGACGGTTTCTGTTCTTCTTTCCCCTTTAGGTTTGTGTGTTAACCTGCTCCTAGCAAAGCTAAACCCACTTTCTTCCACATCCTCCTCCCATTTTCTTCTACCCCCAATAGGAGAAGGGGGGAATGCCTGAAAAAAGGAAGGGGAAGGAGACTAGGGGAGAGTAGATGAAAAGAGAAGTAATGAGGACCAAAGCATAGGAAGTGTTGAAGTGGGGAACTGAAGGGGACACCGAGCAGAGTGCAGGGAGCTAGGAACACTGCCTGGTGGTGCTCTGCCTGGAGGGGTGGCAAGGTGAGGGAATGGAAGGAGGTCCTGCTGGAATTTCTCCTCCTCGTGCTGTGGTGGCCGAACTGGCTAGGGCCAGGAAGAGGCTAGTGAAAAGATCCTGGGAATTGGTGAGGCCCAGGAAAGGGTAAAATTCCATTTAAAAAAAGTTGAGGGAGGAAGAGCAGCCACCAGGAGAGTTTGAAGGAGCCCAAAGTGGGACTGCAACCTAGCACATTCAAAGTAAACGTTTGCCAAGCTCATCTTCTCGTTCCTGAGAAGGTGTGAGTCATGAGACCCCAGGAACTGCTCTGTGAACACACCAGTTACCACTGCTGGTTTCATACTCCACAGAGCATTTCCCGGCTTTGCTGTCCAGCAGTCTATGGAATTGACACAAATTATGGGCTATCCCTCCAGGTTCCTCTGCCCTCCTCTGATGGTAATAAGACCCACCATCATGTGTGTTAGTGGGACATGAGGGTGATGAGATGGGAGCGATTTGTGGTATTGGGATGGTTCTGTCCAAGTTGCTGTGAGTACAGTGCTGCTGCACAGAAGATGATAGGATTACACAGAAGGTGATACAATCCATGGTCATTTAAGTCATTGTAGTTGGATAAGAGATGCAGAAGACACTTAGCAGGCTGAAAGGCCTTCTTTACTTAAATAGATCAGATAAAATAGTGCCAGTGAGAACTGGACAGTGGGAGGGGACCTCAGGGTGGGGCGAGGGAAGGAGAAGTGTTGGGAACGCTTACATATGTTAAACAATCTCAGGTTGTTTAGCTGTGATGAGCTCCATACTTGAGGACTCAACTCATTGGAGCAATGTTAGGGCTTACGTATTGTTATTTTGAAATTCCAGATGACAGGCAATTTTTCAGGCTATCAGAAAGGGGCAAATATGACTCTCTTTGAAAAGGGGGTGGGGGAGAGAGAGAAGGAGCTGGAAATTGTTGATCACTCAGCTTTATTTAACCTCTGCAAAGTGGTAGAATAAACCATCAAGCTTTCTAGAAGCACTTAGTGGAAAACTAAGGTGATGAGCAATTATTGTGGATGTATACAGAACAATCAATGTCAAACCAACATAAATTCTTCCACTAATGGAATAACAGAAGTCAGCATCATAGCTCTGAATTATAGTGTAGCTTTTTGCAATGGGAGATTCTTGTAGGCAGGCAAGGAAAATGTGACCTAATAAACCCTAAGGTGCAAAACTAGGTAAGATATCATACCCACTACTTACAAAAAGTAAAGTACAGAAAGTAGCTATGGAGTGAAATCCCATAAGGTTTGTCCCAAGTCCAGATTTTTTTCAATGTTTTTGTTAATGACTTATGATAGAATAAATAATGGGTTTACTGTAATCAGAAGTGAGACAAAGCTAGGAGGGATGGTATGTACAATTTGAAGAAAAGATTTCAATTCAGAATTATATAGTTAAACTAGAGAAATTAACTGAAAAAATGAAGATGCACTTCAATGAGGACAAAGTATCAGGTTTTGTGCTTTCACAGGATGTGAAAGATACAGTTACATAACAGTTTGTGGGAGAAGGATCTGGCTATAGTGAATCATAAGCTTATTCATCAACAACTTCACGCTGTTGTCTAAAAAAGCAATTGTACTGAGATATGGAGAAGAA